CTGTCTGAATGCTAACGGAAAATGAACTAGCGAAATTGCTAAAATTATTCACCAGATTAGATCAACCATTCACGAACGAAATCAAGAGGTCTGTGACAACTGTTACGGAAAGGTTTGTTTAATGACAATTAGTTACGATTATTAGATGATCCAATGCGGCGAGGAAGTGCCGACCAATCAGTAGTACAACGATGGGCAAACGTAGACGCTGATTGGATAACACACTTGTAGTTATCACTAACTCGTTGGCGCATTGCTCGTTCAATCGGATTCACCGTACTAATAAACACATCACCACCTTCAAGAACCTTTTCTTACATCTCCAGTCTGGGAATCCCAGTAGTCTATAATAAGTGGGATTCCGATGGTTGAAGCGCGATTGCTACACGTAAAGCCATGTTTATTATAAGAGCTAAAATAGGGCACTAATGGAAATTAATATCTTACATTAAATTTCCGTTAGATGTGTGTTACTTATCAGCGGATGATTATCACTGGTTAGCTGCTACCTCATCCTTGTTGGGACTCATCCGGAGTGCATAGAATTCTTTTCTTCATTTTGATTTTTACTTCCTTTTATTGGATATATAGCCAATACAGCCGCCAATCAAAGTGCTGCCCTACAACACACAATGGGAAAAGTCCAGCAGTGGCGATGAGATTCGAACACAAATCCTATGAGGTGATAATTTGCTGACTATTTCACCGGACTACGACCGCCAGCGAGAACTCCTTTCAGGAGAATTCGAAGTTTGATGCCAAAATCTCCACTTGGAACTCCGCGAACGATAGCCAGCAGTTTTAGGGTATACATTAAATAGGACATGCTTAGTCCCGGCAGAAACAAAATAGTTTGCACTACTGATGAGGCCTGACAAGAACATGTCTTGCATGAAAACCTGCGATAAAATGCAAATGAATGAGACACGATCAAGAAAAGCAAAACACAGGCCCTGGTGTTTGTGCACGCAAGTGAAATGTACTAGGTTATCTGAAATTAGGGAACTTTTAGGGATTTTGTATGGCTTTTGTGTCTATATGGATGTGGAAGCTTTTTTACACTACGCGGGCTGTACGTCAGGTTATGTGGAAGGAGTAACGGTGGAGAACCACGGTTAGAGTTTTAATTACAAGAAATATGACACTCGTCCAGAAGTTGCGAATAATTAGATTAACGATCGACACTCTAAACACTGTACAGTTGTATCGTTTTTTTCTAAAGATCTTCAGCAGTGCGTACTCTGTGTATACTTGACCGGGCTCCCCTGGTGACCAGTTGAAATCCTTGTCCCTGAGCGATACCGTGTCTTTGGTAAATTTTGCAGTGCTCTTTTATTTGAAAAACCCTTTACCCCAGACAATTAACTGTCTGGTGCCTACAGCCATGTAAAAGGGTCTAACCCAACAGGATAATCTAAATTAATTAGCCTATTCGTTCAATGAGTTAGTCACCGTTTGTTTTGGTCTGAACTAAGGGTTTTGACTCCCGACCAGAGGCTGTATGGTTTATTGCTCCTGAGGAACATTGAAATTTGCACTACTGAAGTGTGAGAATAAAGAAGAAATACCTGTCCAGTCCTGCCTGTTGCTCATCATAGAGATGTATGTTGCAATTCGCTGCATCTAACTGGGGGAGACAAAATCACATGAATAAAATTTAATAAAAGTAGATAAAATCACAATTATTCTTCTGCCTTTCAGCTGAAACGGCCGTGCATTGCAATCGGAACTCAACTACCAATGACTACTGAATCACTGAAACCATCTGATAGTCAGTATCACCAAACCATTGCGAATTGTTTTACACTCGGAAACTCATTGAACATTCATGCCTCAGTTATTATCTTAAGTTCATTGAAAATGACATATGATTGCACATTATCTGTTTGCGTTTTGGTAGCTTGTAGTGTAGATCCAATTGGCCACTGTATGACGTGTGTCACTGAAGCACATTGTCAGCACGAATCACATAGACTTCCCACTGTGTCGGCTTTTGCTTAACCCTTCAACTACTTTAGTGACCCAGGGAGATATCTGCTATTTAATTGAGTGTGAATTTTGTTTTATACTCCACATTTCATTCATCTGCATTTTCACACAGCCTGACTGTGATAGAACGAAGCTTTGACAAGACGTGAGGATGTTAATTTGTCATTCTGAGTAACGGATTGTTCAGGTGAAACACGACTGACAATCATTCCAGCTGCCAACAAATGCCAAATGAGATATGGTTGTCAAAGATGATGGCTAATGAATCAGGTTTTTCCCTATACTAAGTAGCTGTCAATCAGCCTGAGGGCTTTCGAAGATGTGAATGACAGTGTAGGATTGAGTACTTGGAACGAGGAACAGATGTGGCACATGTACGTGTGGGTATGTTCGCGCAATCTACTTTTGTTTCGGAAACGAACATTCATAACATTCGGAGGAATGAAGCTGTGTACTGCAAAAACCCCAAGTGAATGCAATTTTCAAGCAACCAGACAGTCGGAAAAGATTCGGCACATTAGATTTGACTGTTAAAGCTAGCTCTTTTCCTAATTGTAATTGTAATTATAACTTCAGTAGGCCTAAGGCCCATGTTTCAGTTAAAAATGTACGAATTCGAGAGAGGAAGGTAAAAGATTGAAACTCCAAAGCTGTTAACCAATTCTGTGAAAAATTGTTCCTTGTTAACTAGAATGCGTGCTAAAGAGGGTACAATAGAGTTAGGTTGTGTATTTTGGAGAGGGAACATGAGGATATGGGGATCCACTTGACGGATGGGAACGTCAGCAGGTTAACTCTGTGTGCAGTGGAACTGTAAGGTCGATAAAATTCGTATGTGCAAACTTTACACACACATTCCAATGATGTTCGCACAGGTTAGTTACCATCTCCTTCAGCGGGATTGAAGAAACGTGGCTAATGATGGTCAATCCACGTCGGAGCGGTTTAAAGTCTTTCTTTAGGAGATCAGCAAAAACAACAGGTGAACAACGAAGTGAAATCAGGAAAATACAGTGGTAGACGAATTTGGAGCTAACCGATTTTTGAATATGAAACTGATGAAACTTATGGATATGACTTAGTTAGCCATAACCCAGAGGCTAGTGCTGAGATGAGTGAGGTCTGTGGCCCACAACAAGCTCACAAAGATGGGTTAAACCATATTGTGTAAATGGAAAATAAAACAACGGTCTGATCAGCTGCTCGGTGGTCGAATGGGTAGTACGCTTGCGTTCTGCCTGTGAGATCCCGGGTTCGATCCCTGGTTCGGTCGATGGATTCGCACAGCTGATGAGACCCAACCAGGTCGAAACAGCTGTTCAGTACTTCCCAGCTTTCTGGTTTAGGCTTTATTATGATTAGTTAAAATCAGAAAAAGGATAAACTACTGATTTTTGTTATTTATATGAGATTTGCTCCTGGCGATTCGTTGTCTTGATAATTGGCCAGACTGAAGTTTTATCATTGATATGCTTGCTAGTCACAGTATTTATTCACTGTTGTCCAAATAATCATGTGGTTGCTTTAGCGATAGGATACAATAGGCCTGTTTAGGTGACATAAATTCTGACTATCCTTCACCTTTTAGTGGAATACTTCGACTTGCTATATGTTTTTTGTTTCACTCCAACAAATATACGAATGATATTTTGATCCGTTACTCGTCTCGCAACAAGGAATTTGAAACTTTGCTCTAAAAGCACTACTCTTCTCTTGTCCATGGATCTACTTATCAGTGTCCGTGTATTTTTTTCCAGAATGAATATTGATGGTTTTACCGCTGAACGAGCTTCACATTATAAATACCTCTGTGTTAAGTGCTTATCTGCTGTCTACTTGCCCCTAGCATTCTGAAAAACCTTTGAAAAAAATGATTACCTAACATTTGAAGTCGCACCTTGGAGTTACACGCAAGGATTTCAAAATTATTTATCAGTTTATTTGACTAAACTTACATTGTCAATGGATTTATTCGTCTCCTTTGGTAATTCCTGATTTGCTACCAGCAACGGCTTCAAATTTGTTTTTGCATGTACTACATTACATCACAACTCCTTTATAGCCCATTGTGCCAGAGTACTCTTTTTTGAAAAGGAGAATATTAATAACGAATTATTAAACCAGTTGTACTGTAGTAATACTGAATGTGTACACTTTTCCCCACCGAGCTAAGCTTTGTTTTATCCCAATAACTCGCTGTAAATTTGTCCCACTGAAGATGAGAAATTCTACTCTGATGCAATTCAATGCTAATGCCCTTTGTGAATGTTAGAATGTTAATAACACAGCGATGTCCGTAGAGAATTATATTTGCCAACGTTTCGGTTACCGTGGGTAACCTTTCTCAAGCCAGGGTTTACAATCTTTTATTTACTTTCTATTTCGCCCTACGGACCAATCAGTAACGAATTGGAGGGGTATTTGTTAAAATCGAACAAATATTTTTACTAAATGGTTTTCTTTGAGACTGTCAGTAAAATCATTATAATTACAAAATGGACGAAGCTATCTCGTCCTGAGGTTTCAAGTGCATCACAATCGATCGCGTATCAAAGTTTGTTTGCTGGAAGAACATGAAAAGCATGTGTTAGGAGTAGGTGGGGGTGTTTTCAGTGTTATTACTGCCAAGCTCATCCAAACCGCGATGGTTACAATGAGTGTAACCGTCCACGTTCAAAAACAGATCATGTTTTAAGAAATACTGTGAGGTACAAATTCAATTTTGTACAAGTGAATATGTATTCTTCCATCAAGCGTATAGTGTATTCTGTTTATGTACATGTTTTACGGGTGTGAGTAACAGATGTGTATGTTTGCGGGTTGCCAAAAGTGTTCTCGTCAAATTTCGAAAAGATTTCTTCAAAGCCGATTCGTTTTGTTCGGACGTGAGGTCGGCCTTGGAGGGTAAATCACAATTGAAGTCAAAGGAGGTAATATGTTGGCAATTCCAGTCAGTTCTGTATATCCATTCAGTATGCAGGTAGATACGTTGTGGTTGGTCAATCTCGGCTTCAAATCAAGCCCATCAGAGTTTCCCGGAAGCTTGTGATCGGACCGTTCACTTCGGTCGCATTGTTCATCGGCTGGTAGGGGGGAATGGNCTGGTAGGAGGGAATGGATTTTCATGCGCATCCAATAAAAAAGTGATTACAGATGTAAAATCATACAGTGATGCAGTAATTTGTTTACAAGCTTTCGTAACAATTGTCACAAACAAAGAAAACAATAATTAATATTTTTCCGTTATGTATTAGAATTTTTTTCAATTTTGAAGTGCCGCGCAGCTACAAGCAGTCCCATGCGATTCTACATTCATTTGTCCTACGATTTCTGTGCCATCCTCATTAAATGTGTTTACCCTTAAACAGGTTTATATGCTTCAGTTCCTCATGCATTTCTGTTTAGCATACACCATCACAAAACTGAGTGATTAGTTAATATTTTTTCAATATCAATTTTCTTCTCTGTGGTTTTCGAATTCAACATAAAATTTCCTATGAATTACAGTTTATCATTTGAACCCTGATTTGTCTGTAATAACGCATTTCTTGAGGTGTTTAGTAACATGAGTATTTGGGAAAAAATAAATTCTTCCACGATTTAAACCACTTTGTGATCTCTGGTCTGATCACCACCGAGTTCGGGTAAGCTTCCCTCCTACTTGTGTGGTTGAACTGACAGATGACCACAAATCCACTTTGCATCTTCACGTTATTGACAGCAACCGATTTCCGGCGGGTCCGAACAACACACAACGAAAGACGTTATCATTTGGTTGTGGATCGCGGGGATGAGCAAGATGTGTTTCAGGACGAGGTCAGAAATTAGGTATAACGTAACTCACTCGCTCTATCCTCCTCCTCTCTGTCACACACACATACATGCATGAAGTCGGGACCCGGCTGAAATAAAGACTCTCCACAGTTCACCTCAAGATGTTATCATCATCAACACAAAACACGAAAATCTACTTTGCTTGTTTTGTTTTCGGGAAAAGCCAGTTAATGGCAGACAAACGGTTGTGTGACACGCAGACACCAGATCTTCCGAAATTCTACCTTTGCTCTACGCCTGATACCGAATTCATAGCCTCCAAGAAAAGCGTATACGATTCACGCCAACTCACTGCATCAGAGGTGACGATTATCACAAACGTTGCTGCCATGCTGCTGGTGCTAAGCTGTTTGTTTCCGATATCACAATACTAAGCCCGGTTAAATATAACTGAACAAAAAAAATGGTAATGAGACACACGGATTAATTTGCTTGAAATAAATGATCCGGCAGTTGATAAATAGCAGTTTTACACTTGATAGTAGGATGGTGAAACAGTGGAATTTCATTCGCCCCACCCCCTGGGATCCGGTTTTCTTCTATAGTGTCCTCAACAAGGTACAAGTAAAATTCAATCTTATTCCGGTAAACAAACCAAAAAGAAAGAGATTTGAGTAATTTTCTTTCCAATTTAGTTTTGTGATTAGTAAATTGTAGCAGCACGAAAGAGATATCCTCTCTCTGTCTTTTATTTTTCTTCTTTTTATTGAATATACAATAATACAACTTTCAATGAGGGGTAAGTATTTGAGCAAGAGACCCCCATACAACACACACGAAAAACGGAAATTCAGGCCATGGTGACGGGAATCAACTATTCTTCTTCCTTCGTGACCTTTACCGCTTGATCATACGTAGTTCTCAATTAATCCAGTTAATCATACACTCAAGAAGCATTATAGAATTCAATTTTGATATAATTAGAGCTCACCGGTAAAGCATCTCATCCATCCCATCCGGGTGCTTTTACAATGATTCATTCTGACCAATAGGTAGGCAGTAATGGAGTGAGAGTTATATGATCACTAAAAGTTAGTTGTCAATTTCCAATCTCAAAATGATTTATTATCAAACTAAGCAGACTATATAGTTATTGACAACCGGAGGTTTTGCACATGTACTCACCAGATCAGTCGACTGATGTCGGAGGATATCGTCCGAGTTATGTGCCACTGGGCAAATCACGGAGGGAGAGAATTTCTTGTTTTGCTCGGTAGATCTGCAAGTGTAAATATGAGAGGTTTTATGGGCTGATCGGTTACCGCTGCTCCTTTAAGACTAAAGAATAGTTCTAAATCAAAGATTCGGATGGATATGACCTGTTATGTACTGCAAATGGGTTTGCGTGATTTTACCTGTGGAGTATCACGGGTGACCTGGATTATGCATTCACAGGGTAGAAAACTGGTGTGTATATGCGTATATCTAAACTCTTGTCAAATGATTTTGGTTACCGCTACAGCGACACCGAGGTCGTGAGTTCGAAGCCCGCCACCGCCGCACATCTGTTGAATGATTTTTATAGATTACACAAGCAGTTCAATATCTCGTTACCTATGGGTTTTATTTTGTTTAAGTGTATGCGTTTCATGGTAAATGTTGTCGTCTGCAGAAACAAGTAAGTGTGATCAGCAGATCTTAGAGACATTGAGTGAATGTTTCTACCTCGTTGGATCTCATTTAATTTTCTTGACTCTGTATACGATAGAATTCATCATGAAATTGAATTGAATCCCTATTAATATATATCATATATATCCTTATTTATTGTATTTATATATATTTATATACGTAATATTTTTGTACTTCGTACTAAAGATCACATTCTATGGATTATACGGTGTTTCATTTGGCAGAACAAAGCACGTAGAATGAGTCTACACGAAAAAACAAAATCTTTTATAAGTGATGTTGGTTTTCGTTTTAACTGAAGAAATCCTCAAATTTTCAATTTCATGTGAAAGATAGTAAGTCTTAATTGGTCACATTCAACCAGTGGATATTTTAATGTTTTGCCATTACGAAAAGTAGGAGAAATTTTCTAAACCAACTGAAAACTTCTGTTTTAAATGCACGATAGAAATGTAGGCGTGAGTGAATTTGTTCGTGAAATTGGTGTTATCTTTAACTCTACGATTTTGTTTCATACCGCACCTCACAGAACACGGACCCTTTGATTTAATGCAAAGTAGTATACAGAATAACAGTTACCACAGAGCTTTCCACGTTCATCATTCAACCCATTCGCATCAAGCACTTACATATATCCACCAGGGGTTTCTGTGTACTCCCTGGTCAGCTGTTTCGATCCTTGACCGAGCAAGTTGATATGCGCATCCGAGCGTAACGGAGAGCGACCGGCAAACACAATGCGGCTGGGATCACTGGTGAGGGAATCCCAACGAGAGCCTGTGGCTTGTGTGGGGTTTGTATGCGTAGAGTGGAGCGAAAAATCTCGATCATTCTGTGTGCCCGGTGTGCCTGAGCGACCGGAACTGGATGAACAGGCGGAAGATGTGGATCGGTTGATGACTGCCACCGTATTGGTCTCATCATTTCCTGAAGGGCGAAAATAGAACTCGTCACTAATCAGACGACTAGACTCCGATTCGTGCCAGCTGCTGTCCCTAATGGTTTTTGGTTCTAGCATCGTATGAGAATTCTGCAAATCTGGATTGCCTGCAGCCAAAGACGAAATGAGTGTATTCTTCAATTCGCCAGTTTCGATCATTGTGCTCGAATAGCCCTTGTCTCGGAAGGATCCGTCATAGCTAGAATTCATTTGGAACATCGGTTCATACGGATTTGCGGAGTTCGTTGCTTTTGGCAAGGAGTTAACGGAACCAAATGATTGTGTAACCTTCTCCGTTAAATTTTGAAAAGCTGAGTAGTTCATGAATTCTTGTTTGGAAACTGACTGGGGATTTTCAACCTCATTGGTTTTGAGATACCGATTAAATGCCATATTGTGCACATTTAGTCCCGTTGAGGATTTCAGCATTTCGTAAGGGTCGGCCACGGATGCATCAGTATCCATGCCTGTGCTTGACTGATATGTTCTCTCTCTGGACATCCGTGAGAAAGGGTGTCCATGTCTCTGACCCGTCGAATATTCTGTCGTGTGGGAGGAATTCCCTTGCCTTGTTGAATTCGTGAAAAGTTCTGCTGTTGAGTCAGATGGATTGGCGTAAAACCGGGGGAATGTTTGTTCGACGTAAGATGACAATCCGGATGTGGATGACGTGGACGAGGTCGCCAGTGCATGACTTCTTGTTGGTTGTGGTGCTGTAGCGTGATAGCTGTTGGCTGCTGCTACAACCGCTGCCGCGGCCATGGCAGCCGAATAAGCATCGTATGGTGTTCCATAGTGTCCGTATGCTGTATCTGCTGAAGCGCCATGCCCGGAATAGTCTGTTCGATTGGACTGAAACGGAATTCCCTGAGAAAACAACCGATCACTAACATCTGTGGAACAGGACTGAGGAGTCGGTGTCGTGTGCGACAGAGCAGCGCAGTTAGAGGCAGAATTAAATAGGTAATTGTGATCCGTAGAATTTCGCCAACCCAGATAATAACCAACCTGATCGAATTCCACTTGTGGGTGACCAGTGCCACTCATCAATTGATTAGGAAACGAGGTCGTTGTATTCCCTGTTCTAAGTGAAGCTTCCAGTGGGGTGAAATCGGATCGACCATAGACTGAGCTACTTTCATGCTGACCGTATTCCGTGGCATATGGAGGTAGTGCGCCGGTAGCAAGGGAAAGTGCCAGTGACTTGGGTCCGTAAGCCAAGTTGGCCGGGTCATATTCTGGATGAATTGTAGACTTTGTTGATTGCTTCCGTCTCCGTCCTGAGCCACCATTTGTTTTCACTTGTGGCTTAGTTCTGAGCGGATTAGTACCTGCTTGATGCATATGGCCTTGCAAATGATAAGGATAGTTTGTATTAGATATGGTGGAATTGTGTGAGTTTGCATCTTCTTTCGACATTCGTGCACTTGTGCCAAATCTTGCATTCACTGAACTGTCACGCTTCATGGTGGGTGCAATCATAGAGTCGTCCAAGACCGAGTATCCATTATCCAATTTGGAGGGAGTAACGGGACACAGCTGATCGGCTTTTGGTGCACTAGTTCCGGATTGCACGTTGCCATTCACAATACTGCTAATGAAATTGCTCTCCAAATCTTTGATGTGAGATGTGGTGAACGATCCACCATAGTCTGAAACCAGTCGATTGTTGCTTACAGATGTTCCATCATCACTAAGTAGGGTTTCTGGTTCGAGCAGTGGAAAAGGAAGTTTGTATTCATCGCTTCGACGAATCAACAGTTCCATTCCTTCTTGTTGTCTAAAACAAATGGAAAAATGGGTGTTTTCCAAGTGAAACCAAAAATGCATGGAGCATAAGACTTTCGAATAATTGTCATGTATTTTCATCAATAATTTTATTCGAAGATAATCAAAAGATTATCTCAGACGCATGTGAGGACAACGAGCTCACATTGGTGGCATTTGATCAGATCTTTCCTGGCCAATGAAACACTTACGATAATTGCCGATGAATTGCAATGATGTGGTCTTGTTTGTTGTTTTTCATCACCAATCGAACACGTGATTGCAACCAAATCCATTCTCCCGACTTACACAACCAGCGGTGCACAAGAAGGCCGATCGATCCGGTTTTGAAAACTGTTTGGGAGGAAGAAATATCAAACGATTTTTCAATATGACGTGTGACAACTGCTGCCATAAATTAGTTGTAAGGTACAACAAAAGTTTAGGTCATACGAAGACCCTCCGCAAGCGAATAATGATGCAGTAGTGTGCAAAAACCAAAGATAAAGTGACAATTGCTCATCACCCGTCAGTTCCCTTTAGTTATTAGTAAAACTTAAGCAGTTGTGCTCCACATATTGTTCAGTTCGGCTCAGATTTTACCGGCATTAAACGTGTACTTTCATGCGACGGTTTTGGTTGGGTTGTCTCATGACTACCCACTTGGATGAAGGAATACAGGCAAGATTGGAATGTTTAATTCAGTTTTAGAACGAAAACAGAGAATTCACGAAGACTAGTGCTCCAAGTAAATTAAGAAGATGCGCTATCGCCACTGTCTGCGATTCGGCCATATCACTCGATGTCTATAACCATTGATTATAATGACCTTGATGTCCCCATCCAGGAAGCCTAGCACGGTCTATTTGAGCAAATCTCGTGGTTAGGATTTTTCTACCCCCATATCACTCAGAATTTTGACCTCGCTATCGTTCGCACCTTTGTGTTTTTAAATGGGTTTTATTTTTAATTACAGCAGAACGTCGGTAGTCATGCCCTATAACTCAGTAACTGTTCATCAGCAGAGCTGTTTGTTCGTTTTATATAAAAGCGGCTTAGCTCCTCCGCAACCCCGATAAGCTTGTGGTGAGATGCGGTTTTCTCCTTGAGAAAATGCCCAACCATCTTATACGTATCAATTGAAAATAGAAAGTTACGAATAATTTTGTAATGCATAATCTACTTCTAACGCCCTGCAATGATAACTATTTTATGGAAAAACAATCTGTTTCAACTTTACATATGTGAGTTGATCGTCAGCAACGGGCCTAATTCATTATCTTCGTTATCAGTGTCTTCCTGTACCGGTTTATTCTTATCCTGGTGTTGGTTCTGATGGTCCAGTAGTTTGAATATCTATCGCAAGCGTGTTTTAAGCTCTACGGTTTGATGTTTGAACTGATCGACCTTCTGGCCTGACGATAGGCAGTAACTTGGTTATCGTCAGCTCGCTTTGTATAAGTTGCTTTTACCAGTTCTAAGGCATAGGTTGCTGGTTTCTATAACTGAACGACAAGTTATGAGGACCGTGGGGTTCTTCTCTTCCACTGCTACCAAGGCAAACCTGGATCTCAGCTGATCACTGAGAGCAGAATCAGGCGGTATATTCCATGTCTTATCCATGATAACATAGAACTTCTGTTTTGTATGATTGCCCACCAAAACCAATCACATGTGACTGATATTCCCAAGCATAACAGAACCTATATTGGGATCAAACAAAAGCCCTGAAAAAGCCCACATTTGTGGAGCACTCATTTCTCACCTTCACGATGTCCCTGAGCCACGTATTGTAAATCTTCCGGATGCAGAAGATCATAAACTTTGAAGTGTTGCAAATCGGTATCCACGTAATTGAAAATCAACCGGGTTCTGAATGATGCAATGCACGAAATTCGTGAATTAGTTATTTGGAACTGATTATCAAAAACTAGTGATAGTAGATTGTCTGGGAAAAGCAGAGGAACGGAAGAAATTTACAATACTAGAAAAATTTACATTTTGGCCTAATATTAAAGGAAAGTTTTCGATGTGAACCGAAAAATTAGTTCCTTATGAAGTTTCAACACGGAAGGGGTTTAAAAACACAGTGTATGAAAGCTTGATTAACAGTAAATAACAGTAAATTAATTAATTACAACAATTCCGATTAACATCATAAAATATCACAATTCAAATTTCTATAAAAGATCCATAAACCATTTCCCGTCAGAATGCGGAAATCCTAAGTTGAAAGGAGAAATTGCAATCGCTAATAGGACAGGGGTTGTGTACATAAACAAAATGACTGTCGGACTGTCCAGAGGTGGTTCCAATATATGTGTGCATCATATCCAAGAATGGAGCAAGTGTTCCTCAACAAATTGCGCACCGTGGATTTGACATAAAGGAACATTTTAACCAATGGCAACATGAAAAATCAACAGGGATGCGGAGTCAATTTAAGTACTGTTTGACAATCCTTTGCAAAAGGTGGTGTAGATTACATAAAGTTTTACGAATCAACTCTTCAGTGGTAATTATAAAGGGGTTTAGTTTGATGCTTTCTGAGTATGATTATAAGTTTATGAATTCAGTCTTAGATTATTCAAAAGAATACAGGATGATAAAAATTTTGGTTCGTGTGAAACTACCAAATTTACAGACTGGAATGGATGGTTATTTCAACCAGAGCACCAAATATAGCTAAACGATCTTTATGGGACAGTAAAATGATCAATCGTTTAAACCAAAGTGCAATGAGGATTAGTCTACGCAACAGTGTCGATTAATTTTCATGCAGAACACGTTTCCCACTCTTATGCTATCCTTTTGGAACTAGGATTGTCCCGCTTTGCATAATCAAAGAATCAGAATTTGTCTCCTTCGATCTACGGACTAGTTTAGTTAGCTCTGTGCCCTAATTTCTTGTTGCTCATTCTGTGAGTTAAATGGTCTGACTTACCTTGAATCAATTGTGGTCACAGTCAAGTCCAACTGGTGTTTTGTTTTGAATGTCATATCACGCTGTGGACCATTCAAACTGGGCATCGGTCCCAGCGGACTACAGACGACAAACAATCCAAGTGGCGGTAAATTGTAACTGCTCCCCGCACCACTAGAGGTTAGAGCAGTTGAACTGGAACTCACACGTCCCCCATGATGATGATGGTGATGTGATCGAGAACCTCCCATGCCCGCACCATGAGCTGCATGCATACGCGCTTGTCCGTGAAGAAATTGCAAGCGACCACTCAGTTCCAGTGTCTGTGAGAGGAAATATTTTCGGGAGTGTTTAAAGGTATGAGTAACATTCAGCTGATTTATCACACACAATCATGAGGTATTGCTATAAAAAACAGTATGCTGAGTATGAGGACGCTTTCAAGTTTTTCATCATATTTAAATCTCAAATGCCAAGCATCGCAGCTGTGAAATTTGTCCACAGAAATCCTTCAAACCCTTTAAAACGTATTTATGGGTTATTAGTAATTTGTGGAACCATTTAGGTCCGCTTCTGTGCACAAAATTTCACATTCAATTTTGGGGGATTGATAAAAATCACTGGGGCATCGGCGACCTCAATTCCTGTCTGTTTAGTATAAAATAGATTTGATATCAAGCTATTCTGTGTTGACTATTGAGCTGCTACTCGTAACTGACGAGGGGACGAGACTCGTGTTTTGCAATGGTGCTCGATTGTTTCGGTCATCAATATTGGAAACCGCATGCGTACCAACCCCAATAACGAATTGGACCAAATATCCAAGCGAAAACATTTAAGCTCTTTCTTTATTTTTAAATGTGATGAGCTAAAAAATAGAACCATTTGGTTGGAGAAACGGAGTACACGGTAAAACAACTGCTAGCGCACAGCATCTGTCTCTCTCTAGGGATCATATTATCAGGCCCAACTAACTTCTCAACGAGAGGTGTTTATGTAAAGTGTTTTCATTGACGCATACACTGGATTCTTCAGTATACTATAAAATAGTTTACCTTAGTCTTCTAACAAAATTAGGACAAAAATCATGCAGCTCTCAAAGGCTTCAGCTAGTTTTTATATAACGAAAGACCAACGAGACACTAGAAAATAGATAGTCTGCATAGATAAAGCTGATTGACATGAGTTCAAAATCCAGTTAACTTATTTTCTCCAACTCACAATAAATCCAGATGTGTTATCCAGTAGACATCGAAATCGAACGGTAAACCGGCGTCGCAGATGATGCACATAATCTGAAAATAATTGACGCGATAAAAGTAATTTCAGGAAATCACGAGGGAAAGAAGGCACTTCAAAGCATACATTTTTACTTGGGAATTATTTAATCTACAAATGTCAGCAAATGGATAGTTATCGGCCGGAATTTGATCTGTAGCTTAAGTGCTTGCGTTATTGTCAAGTCAAACCAATTTTGCGCTTGTTATATAATCACTAGTGATTCGGCAATAGTCTGTGTCAAGCCTATTTGTGCATATCTACCGGGTGTCTTCACTGAATACTTCAATGCATTTGTATGAACTTATTGTATGAAGATGCGCTGAACCCTGACTTGCGTCGAAACCATTGTATACACTAGTAGTAGGCTCATTTCAATAGACAGTTTTGACTGGAATGGCAATTACTCACAAATCAGTAGATATTAATATTAATTAAAAAAAATAGTAGTCTCTAGCTCTATAAATCCAACTATTGTGAAAGTGGTTCAACTTAAGAAAATGCTTGTTGATGATTGACTGAAGTGTTTGCACATTTTCAATAAGTGAACTGTTCAAATTTAGAGAAAATTGTTTCTTTTTAAAGACAGACAGAACTCAAGTGTTTATCATACTAAGCGAATCCTCTCACCTCTTGACATAAGTTCATTTAAGGTGTATGATTGCAATTCCAGGGGTAGACCGTTTCGCCAAGATAGCTGACGTCTGAATTCTTCTCGATCTTCCGAATGGATCAGTTCGAGTACACTCTGGTGCAGAATATCCGCCTGTTTTCAGTTGAAAGTGCAGATAGAGAGAAAGAACGTGAGAGAAGGGGTGGGGTTAATGCTAAAGAAAGTGGAGAAGGTTCNTCTTTCTTTGATGAATCCTAATGTCCCAGTGACTGCGTGAATAGGGTGAAATGGAAATGCAAGATTAATTGTAGAACTGTTTCCAAACCTATTCCAGTAAGTGCATTCAGTCAAACTTAGACTCATGCGATTTCTGTTTGTACGGACAGACTTGCGTCACACGTCACCCCGACTCCGGTTTTACTCGAATCTGCAATGCTTTACCTTTTTGCCTCATTTGCCCTCCGAAAATGCCAGATACTTTCATCCAGTTTGAGCACAGTGCGCTTCCATGGGCTGTGCATCTCAAGGTCGATTTTCGAAAGTCTTTTTTCACATTCCTTTCGTGACGATAGAATCTTAATGAGCAATTTATAGTCACAATAATTTTCCACATATCTGTGATAACGATTTATCACTTATCGATTCATTTTTTCTTTATATCGTTCCTAAAAAGAGGTGGTAATTATTAGACTTAAAAGCACCAGGATGATTATCTCTATGACTTAGTAATTAGCTAATAGAAATAATAAAATTGTGTGCTGTACTAAACCACCTGTTTCCACGTTTGAGTTTTGGTTACCAAATCACGACAAATTTTGTCCTGGCAATCAAGATCAGGCCACTCCAAATATCCATATAAGAAGATAAGGAACATTGCAGTGGGAAAAACAGTTTGCAAAAGATACACTCTCCACGGGGCTATGCATATACAAGTATGGCGTTGGTGACAGAAATATACCCCTGCACTAAGCATCACGTCTCAGCAGTTCCAGCAATAAACTTAAATTCCATTCTAAAATGAGTCGAATGGAATGCATATCCACTATTCCGTCCATGATTAGAACTTTGAATCCTCGCCTTTAAGGTGTGCGTATTATTCCCGTGACAATCAGCTCACATTGAATCAAACTAAGGAGTCTGTGAGTTTGGTTTTATTCGTAAATGCGAGCGGCAATTGAGTGTAGCGCCTACTGGATGAGCTGAGGATTGTGTCTAAGTTTGAAGTCTGACGTAAGCTCCATCTAAATCAATCTCCGGTATGTTATATCATGAATAATAAGGACTGACTTCTAGTAGTCATTGGTATGACTGCTTCTGTACTGCCATCAAACTGACTGGTCCACTTACCCCTTGTGACTGATTCCGGTTTTGTTGCCACTCGTGCAAAATTTGGCATGGTTATTTTGTTCCCGTAAATATTCAAAAGAATAAGGTTTGTCTACGTTTAGCACCGAGTATTTCTCAAAACAATAAAACGTCCAGTAAAGCATCAATCCAATCTCAATTATTATTATTGCTGTTTTTATTGGTATTAGTTTTATCGGTGTAAGCATACTTGGTGATAATCTGGGGATTGTTTAGTTTTCGCTAATATTTTTTATTGACCGAGGTCACATCAAGTCCCCCCGTTGTAAAGAATCCTTAGCAAAGTTCATGCCATATTTATGCAACGCATTTTGCATTTTGGAAGTTTACTGTGTGACTGGGGTTGGGTGGGTTTTGGATGCCTTAACGCAGTTAACATAGTTTCATAACAGGACGGAGACATTCTAAGCCAATTAGTTGCCCCAGTGATACGCGCTTGTACAGTCTTCCGAAACTTATTCATTCGTTGAGGAAAACTATCCGCAAATGACAGCATAAAATCAACGGGTTATACTTACGCTCCATCTACATTTGGTCAAATTTCTTATATTTCTAAATCACTTCGGTTCGTTGATGCGGCACACTTACAACAAGATGTGTACATACTTACTCAAAGATTTGACCTTGTGAAAACAAAGACTATACTTTCGTCGTCTTTATTGTCCTGCTTAGACCCGAATCCAATTGTTTTCGTTCAACGGTCAACTGCAGCTCAATATGCATGAGCATGAAATGACCGTCTTCGGCTTAGAAAGCCGCCATCATTCCGACCAAGCAATATGGTAGGTTGAAAGAAAGCATTGCGGCGAAATTTTCTGCAGCTGAGGAAATATCGTCCCTAGGTGAGGTGATAGACAGCTACGGATTTGCGCTATCGGTAATTGAATGTTGCTACTGGTTCTGTTATTGGGTTTCGGGAACAATTGTGTTCCCACTCTGGGGTCATCCGCGTCAACTGCAATGTTTACGCCATTTTGAATAGCCAAGTAAATAACTGTAGGCATCCGTTTTGAAATTATACTGGGAGGAACTGACACTATGATATAAACAGTCAACCAAACCTATCGTCTGGCTCCGTGCACCACTTCTATAGCATCTCTGGCAGCCAGAAGAAACTGCAAACTGGGTAAATGTACATGATGCTCCCTCCTTGCTGTTGGAATAATAAAAATTGTTATTGTTGTTGCTACTGTTAGTGCCGGAGTTTGTGTTGATCCCAGGAATGTGGAGTTGGTTCGATAAGAATATTCTGCAGATGAGTGGGGCCAAGTCGAAGTGACTCGTGCCACGAGACACACCACTCTGCGAAGGAATTCACAACACTGTCACCGCCACAACAGCCACCACCACCACCGGTTTCATCTACCGGTATAAGAACTCGTGAAATGTTGCGCCCTTCTCCTGTTCAACCCTTTCTGTGTCATCACTCACCCCGGTCAGAAGTGTTGTTCACAATAGACAGCATTTTCAGACTGCATCGAGAATCGCATCCACACCTAGAAGTGTGCATGCACCGACGTGTTACACACCAATCCACACATACATACACACCAGAGTAAACTCGACCAAACCTACTGGCATTGGCCAGAGTCGTTTTCAGGCCAGCTTTGCAGGTGTTCCGGGCCGGTGGTAAATAACGTCCAAACACCTGGTCAGAGATATGGGTAGTGTGTTTGAGGAAAGCTTCTCAAGTCCGTGGGTGTATACATGTGTGTATGGTTGTCTTTCAGTTGTATATGTATATAGATATATATATATATATACGTAAGTACATGGAATACCGTTCACACTACCTTCCAAAGCCTGACTCGCCTCCCGCCGCCTGCCCGCAACAATCTTCACCCATTTGTTTCCACCTTAAAATCCGCCACCCCATTTGTCTACGGCTTTTACCAGCCCTAATCGAATACCATACCAGTCATGTCGAAAATCAATGGTCATCATATAGGCTCACTTTGAGAAAAATGAAGGTGTTTCGATGACGTGCCCCACCCTATCAACTTCACCCTACCGCTTGAAAGGTCTGAGTTTACAATGGAGTGAGCAATTGATTCATGATGTGATCAATACAGTATTATTGATTATCTTTGATAGCTTCATGAGGCATAGAATCAGCAGAACATTAGAGACGGATGTCATTCATTTTGTCTAATAAAACTGTACTATTAGCATTTCGGTAATTTAATATTCATTCTGAGATTTGTTTTGTTATCTATATAGAACACTATAACAATGAAGATGCTCATCCTCGTCGTACGAATTAATATATATATATATATATATGTTGGAATAAAAATCAACAAATCACTACAATGGTTCACATACTTGATGAAACCCGAGATAGTGTTCAACTGTCTTCGATACAGAGAATACTTCGCCATCACAAGACATGATAAATATGAATCCGTTCAGCGCCTGAAGGTGGTCAAAAATAGCAACCAAAACAACAAATGGAAATGGAAAATGTATTAGTGATTGCACGAAAATGTTATAGTTCCAAATTATATTTGTGTATCATGACCTCAGTCACAATTATTGACTATATTTATGGAAATTAAACAAAGAACGGGCACNAAACCAGCATCAATTCCAGCCAAGTGACCAACCCTAATAAAAGAATATGTGCTTAGAGGTGGAAATTTGGGCTCCGAACACGAAGCCGCGTTTTTCTAAACCCCTTTCGCAATCCTGACGAGCATCGGGCAGTATGAAACAGAATCTGTCCAGCGCTCTTTTTCGAATGTCATACAAAATCGATTCCACAACAAATCAAGCAACTTGGATTATGTTTAAGATTTACGTCTGTTTGCTGCGTGTTTTAACCATGATCTTTCGCAAAATATTGTCAAACTGGATGGAATTTCCCGGATATGCAACAATTCATTTAAAGATAGAACACCGTGGGCATTTTTTGGGTCAGACTTTCTGCAGAATATNTCTTCATACATGACTTGTCTGAACACTTGTTTCCTTTACCTTTAGTTGTTCTCATGTCCTTTTTTTCCTTCATTCATCCCGCCAGAAATTAAATCCTAATTCGTGCCACACCGTTTGATGATCTGTTGTGATAACTGACTCACCTGAAGACAAGCTTCACCCTCGATCCGGGTGATATCGAAAGGACAATGATACAGATGTGACACCAACCGATTTTCCGCCAATATTCGGTCATAAGAAAGGGCTGCAGGGGATAATAATGAAGCGTATTAAATGTGAGATGTATGTGATGACACTGTTACAAAATTCGTTATGACACAAATCAAATAATAATGCAGTTTGTTAACCAAGTTTTAAAGTTGTCACCACTCTGACTGCGTCGAACATTTATCATCTAATACTCATAGAACAGTCTCTAACACACAGTGAAGATGTAACCATTATTTTTCATAAGGTGGCTGCTGTTATCAGAACCCCAGGGATCTGTTATTACCTAGTCATGAGTATATCTTTCCTAAAGTGACGGAGTTCTCTTTCAGGAAATTGAATCAAACACCAACCAGCTCCACACACATGCACAGACCGTATATATATATATATATATATATATATGTACGTGTAAAATCTACAAAAGCCTTGAAATGGTCGCACTTGAAAAGACCCAAGTGTAAGCAGTACCGCTGGTTTCAAGTTACCGATCAATCTGTATTGAAGTCTTAGTTTTTATTTATTCATTGTATGTGAACAACGGAGGTGTTAGGCTTTTGAATATTTGATTCCTTTGGGGGTTCGGTTACTCTGATACACCACTCTCAAGGTAATGGTATCAGAGTAATTATTCTGTAGATTCCCCATTCGGTTATTGGGAGGCAATATGTTTCGTATGGTTTAGGCTTAATTCATTGATCTGAAGCTTTTCTAGGAATTATATCGCCAGGTTGCATGGTGATTGCTTCTCTGTTTTCACAGGCTAGAAATATGCCCTAATACGAAGATAAAGTTGTGAATGATTTACCATTCGCATTGTGTGGTATGTTAGTTTCAATTAAGGTTTTATATCAGCAGTGTAACTAGTTTAAAGATATCTCGGAAAGCCTAAAGGTACAATCCAAACCGTAATGGCCACTGATTTAGCAATGATAATGCATCTGGGTTTGTGCTCACAATGAAACCCGGTCTCCGGAATAGGAATAACGTGACCTTTTGTCGGTCTGCCAAAGCAGCCACTTTTCATCCACGTGTTTCCTTAAGCAACCAAGCCCACCCCGTTCAAATTCGCACTGCTCGTCCGGTGTCCCAGTTACTGGCACTTATAGTATAGATGTGTTAGTAAGCTAACATGAATACGCTTGCAAACCAAGATAATAGGACTCGTCACGATACGATTTGTTTTAACCCCAGAGGGCTTTAAGATAAGAGCGGGCACAGAGACACTGGATTATCGAATTTCCTGGGCACGGAAACCAGTGCCCCGACACCGTTATGGTAGAGGGATTGGTAATCTGAAACAGAAACGGAAGCACCACCAAATGAGCCCACACACACACAAGCATACACAAACGCACACAAGCTTACAAATAGATAGATAGATAGACAGACAGACAGAGTGAGAGAGACACGAACATGCAAATTGCGTGATCTACTCGACTAACGTGCGGGTTCTATTCAACCTGAATGGTCTCTATCACATGTTTTTATTGTTCCATGAATTGCAGTATGTCTAATGCACATGTTGTCTCATTTTGCAGGCAATCACTAAGGCGGTGTGCGTGCGTGCGTGCGTGAATGCATGCACAAGACGAACAGTCGTGATTTCCTCCCAGAAAAAGTCCGAATCTATTGTTCCCAAGTGTCAATCAATGGAATGGCATAGCGCTATTAGTGCCTTAGATACAATGACATTGACGAACTCGGTGAAAATTTGAGACCATGTTTTATCACTCCACCAAAATAGCGCAATTTTCCACGGTATTCTCAAATGTGCTTCTTCTATTTTACAGCCACTATGAACATGCTTGTAATTTTAGTTAAGAAATTCCAAAGGATAATTTGCGGCAGTGGTTTGACATGCTGGTCAAAACAGAATTTCGAAGCAAATTGTTAGGTAACAATTAAAAAACTGAAAAAGTTAGGTAATGCCATGAAAGGTAGTTTTACCATTTGACCTTCGGTCGGAGTCTTTTGCATCCACCTTTTTATGAATTCAGCCAAAAAGGAAACTTTGAATACATGGTCATCTGCCAGGCCCAGGCATAAATAAACTAGAAAACATTTACCCAACAAGATAAGCGAAATCTCCCAACATAACACTTGTTTGGTTCTCTATTAACGGGTTGCACGTAAGTAACAATGAGAATTACCCACACAGATAATAGCTCTGACCATGAAGATCACAAAACAACTTTAGTAATCAGTGGTTGTTTTTTCGTGAAATAATAGTTTTAAGTATTTTGTGCTTGCGATACGTCTGATCAAAAACAACAACAACAAAAACACACTGTAGGGTCAAGCACTTTCCATGAGAAATTTTCCAGAATGAGAAAAGATGGCCGGATAAAGATAGTGGAGACCATCTGTTTTGCACACACAAACATACGGAATACCTCCTATGGCCATCGTTCGCGCAGCTGAGTAGTTAGTTAGTTGTGTCGTATAGATCAGAAGGCAGGCACGCATCTCGCTTGCGTGTTACGTTTCATCAAAATATTCTCAACCAATCTCATGCATGCATGTGCACACCCACACGGAGAGAGAGAG